TAAAGAACCTGAAGCAATTATTGATCGTAAGACGAAGAAGTTACGACATCAGATGGTCAAACTAGTACTTGTGTGATGGAAACATACGTCTAGGCCGAACCTCACCTGGAAATAGAACGTGACATGATGATTCGCTATCCACATTTGTTTGCTGATGCACAATTCCGAGACAGAATCATCCTAAAGGGGAGAGAATTGTAAAACACACGTTTTTCACTAGGCATTAATAAAATGGTGTAATTGTAATAGTCAACAATTGTAACCTTTTTTGAAGTTAATAAAGATAATTATCTGGGTATTATGTGATTTACATAGTTAAGTGTTGCATCTGTGCTTAAAACAATATAATAAAATAAAAATAAAATATACGTCTAAAATAGAATAATAATTAGGACGAATAACCTTGATGAAATAGGAAGTAGTCATGATGAGGATTCTGGAGATATAAAGAACACTCCAATCCGACTTATAACGAAAAATTTATGTTGCGTTGAAGTTTCGCGTTCGACCTAATACGGCTACATATATCGTAAATAGTGAATTAGAGTTAGATCGCTTAGCATAAGTAGTCAAAACAAAAGTTGTAGTTATCGTAAAACCTAGAGTGTGCATCTAGAGAACGTCTAAATCTGATTTCATATGAAGAAGTTATGATTTTCAAAGTTTTAGTACAACAGTGCACACACATAAATCAAATTTTAGATCGGTTGATTTCTAGCCAAAACAATCTAAACAATAATTGAAGATCTCGTTAATATGATTCTGTTGATATAAAGACAGTTGGAAACGAGCGTCAGATGAGAGAGTTATGAATTTTTAACAGACTTTATCAATCTAAGTCTGTTAATAATATAACTTTAAAAATAAAGTCAAAATTAACCAACTGAGTCTAAACGAAAGTTGTAGATCTCGTTGATAGCTACACGTGGATATAAAATCCATCGAAAACGGAGCTCGTATGAAGAAGATATTAAAATTTGAAGAAAATACGATTTTCCATGTGCAACCGCTCGCACAGACAAGATGTGCGGCGCGCATCAGACAACCACCGAAAAGCTGACATGTGCCACCACTAGATAAACGCCATGTCACCCCCGACATAGTGTGCGATGCGCTCCGGGAGGGTGCACGGTGCACCTGACTTTTTTTCGGCTATATATACCCACCTCTATTTATGTTTCTCATATATCATCCGTACAACCTTCTCTTTCAATATTCTTCTACTTATAACCATTTTAACTTAGTTATTAGTATTCCGGTGAAGCCCTGTGACTCCTGAATGCCCATCAAGTAGTAGCCATCGAGTAGAAGCTCTGCTAGTTTAATTTCCAGACTTTTGTCTAAGGAATCTCTGTAAGTTAAATTACACTCTATTTTATTTTAGTCTAATTTATATTTAAATTCATAGTCGTTGTTATGAATTTATAAATAAGAGATGTCGGTGATTCCAACATTATATTACTAATTGATTTACTTATGGGGATGATGTCTAGGCTGGATTTAGTGATGTGTTTAAAGTGAGATTTACAAACAGTGTACTCTGTATACCAAACAGACCCTACCTTCGATATGATCCAACCTGGTTGTCTCTTATCAGCTATAAATCAGTAGACATTGAGATTATTGAGGAATCTAGACAATTCATTAGCTGTAAGAAAATAATAAACTAAGACTTAGTAATAATTCAACCAAGGACACATGAATGGAAAAGCCAAGTGCTAAAGTGAAGCGCTGCCCAACTTTCCAGTCGTCCATTTTAACAAGTGAGTGCGTTGTTAGTTTCTGCTTACACATAGATATAAAGTATGTAAATGATTGAATGTTATGTATGCATATTATCTGAATTACTTGATATACGTGTTAGATAAATTATATGATTTTACTTGGTTAATCATATATGTATTTTTGTATATATTTATATAAAATGTCTTAGGTAGTAATGGGTGATGAAAATGATGAGACGATGATGAGAAAACTTGACTATTGATGAACCAGTCGTCTAACAGAGTATAGACAACGACCAGAGACTATTCTAGACAATCCAGTAGAATGTTGGCATGTTCGCAACCTATAGGTATAGTGAATTATAAGTTCATTGATGTACTTTATCACCCCCTATGGTTGCCTTATTCACATTATTGCTAAAGGAATCCCCCGATCAATATTATCTATCCGTTGATGATGGTGATCCTTAGGATATGTCTCCTGAGATCAGTATATTAGCATCAATATGTGAGAATAACGAGAATGAGTAGTCAGGTAAATTATATAATTAAAAAACTTAATTATTGTGAGTTGAAAACCCTATGTGCTTACCAGGCTCCCAAGCCTAGCCGAATCAATTTCTTTGTATCTCAGGTAGTGTCACGAAGACCCAAGGATGTTGAGTGATTTATGGATAATTTTAGGACATAGTGTAATAAACTATTATAAGGCCTATAATATTTTCATTATGCTTATGTTTCTGTATTGACGATGACATCCCGAAGTTAACGGAACACATTTCTTTGGAAATGCTTGGTAATATATTTCACATTATTTGGAACAAATTCCACATTATAATTCTTTAAAAAGGATACTCTTAAATGAAATAAACATAATTAAATCAGTCTTTTGTTGTGAAATTGGGGATGTCACATCGATGCCATCAATGGGACATTGAACCTTGTAGTAATGTGTGAACGGGGTGGAATCTCGAATCCTACATCGTCTGGGTAAGAGAAATGCATATTGGCTTATAAGGGTGTTGATATCTTCCCTATCCCAGAACGTTTTAAAGGCATACAGACAACATATCATGTAAGAACTCTACAGTTAAATGTGTTCCAAGATGGGTGACCCTCTAAGGAAGTTTTCATGTCATTCGGCCTAAAGCGGATGATATTATGGTACGTACCTTAAGGGATGTTACAGACCATTAAACTCATACCTGTTGTTTAAGAAATACCATTTTGACTAGGTATTGTATGTGTAGTTGGTTTACATGTTCAAGAAACATAGCAAAATGTACATTATGCTTCTTCTTGTCTCCGTAAAAATTCTCCAACCCTTCCCTTTATTATCGTAGACATATCTTATATCAACATCCATACCTTTCCCTACTTCTCTCCTTCTGCGTTTGTGAAAAACACCATTCCCCCACATCCCTCTCTCGGATTTTGTCTTGAATCGCGTGCCACCAATAACAACATATGTTCAAGAATGCAATTTTATTACTGAAATATGAGTTTGAATTGATTGGATTTTTTAATCGAGTTTTAGGATTGAATTGATTAGATTAGTGAATCGGTTTTGTTGCAATTTGAAGCTAATTTTAGATTTTTGGTGGTAGTGGTGGTGAATTATGGAGATGGTGGTTTTGGTGGTGATGGAAGTGGTGTTTATGGTAGATGGTGACAATAGGAGGTGGGCGGCGGTAGTAGTATTGGATGATATTAGGCGAAAAATAATTGGGAAAATGACTCAGGAGGGTAACCAACTGTTAATTTTGTTCACATTTGGTTCATTTCCTTTTTTGTACGCAATATACCATCTAACTTATTGTTTATGTGCATCATAGCCCTTTTGACCGACTATCACATGATAGCCGGTCAAAAGAGTTATGGTGAACACAAACAACAAGTTAGATGGTATATTACGTACAAAAAAAGGACCAAATGTAAATAAAATCAACAGTTTGTTACTCTCCTTAGTCATTTTCCCTTTTATTATTTTCTCATATTTTTTTCAATAGTTAGAAAAAATTTCATAAATGGTCTTTGTGGTTTTCAAAAGATATCAAGTTCATGATAACCTTCATTGGGTTACACTGGTGGTCTCTGTGGTTTTTAAATGTTACATAATTAGTCTTTCCGCTGTTAAATTTAATTTTATACTTGTTATTTTTCTTTTGAATGACCAATTTATCTTTGTATCAAATATGAAAATGTAATATACCCAAACGAACATTTATATAGTTTACTTCTATTATGTATATTTAATTGCTCCCGGTGATATTATGCTTATTAACAAAAAAAAGTCAGAGCATCATTCCACAATAACAAACAATACCAAGGGTGAACAAGTCATTTCTCGTAAATTCTTTGTAAAAACAACTTATTTGTAATATTATACTTATTAACAAAAAAAACACCAAAAGCATCATTTTTTATTATAAATATTCCATAGTAAAAAACAATACCATGGTGAACAAGTTATTTCTCATGAGTAATAATCAATTTTAAGCAACTTAGTGACAATATCGAAACTAAGAAAAAATAGTACCAACACCAAGAAAAATAAAAGCTTTGATTGGTTTAAGAAAAAAATGACTCATGATGGTAACCATAAGTTGATTTTGTTCACATTTAGTCTCTATCCTTTTTTTGTATGCAGTATACCATCAAACTTGTTGTTTGTATTCATCATAACCTTTTTGACCGACTATGATAGATGATAGCCGGTCAAGACGGTTATAATGAACACAAACAACAAGTTCAATGGTATATTACGTACAATAAAAGTAAAGAGAATAAATGTGAACGAAATCAACTTATGGTTACTTCTTAAGTCATTTTCTCAAAATAACCAAGACATAGTTTAATGGTAAATTATATAAAAAAAATTAATATTAAATTATATAAAATATATTAACCTGCAACACAATGTTAAATAAGAAGTTTTAAACAAGAGAGCTTTATCACTGTCTGTATACAAAATTTACTAAATATATACAAAATTAATAATGCATTACCGTTAGGGTCATTTTCACTTTTAGTTATTTTAATATTGGCCCATTTCTTACTCTAATGTATTTAATAACTTAATACATGCTAAATTTGGTAGTAGAAGTCAAATCCAATCACATTCTAGTAGATTTTGATTCTGATTGTGGGTCTAGCAAGTGGAACCCATCTCTCACCGACCGACACACCCCCAAATCAGCCGTGACATTCTCATCTCCAACACATGCAAGCTTTAGGCTTTAGCTTTTGATCACAAAAAAGCAAAAACAGATATTAGGGTTCTAAAAATACGAAAACAATTTTCTCTATTTTTGTCTCAATGGCTTGAAAGCATTTTCTTGATTTATGCTACTCAATATAAATCCTATGTACAAATTGGGTAGACCAGCTGCAAACACCTTCACATCACAATACCCAGATCAATTTCTTAACTACTTGGTGTCGTTTTGTAGAAAAAAACAACTTTAAAAATAATTTTGTTATTTGACCGTAAAGTCAAATCTTTTTTTGTATATGCGATGAAGCAGAAACGCGGAATGCAGTAATAGGAGTCAATTTAGGGCAATTCTCTGGTATTTGGTCTCAGTGGAAGAATCACAGTCTTCAGAAAACGCTCGTTTGGTGTTAAACTCCCCGCAACTGTTGGTAATTCTCCGTAAGAAATCTTGATTGGATAGATGGTGGGAAGTTGGAGTTGAGATCACTAACGGCGGCGATGGAATATGGTAGGTGTCCAGCGGCGGAGGTGGGTGCTGCCAATGTGGGAGTGGTCCTGCCAGGAGGAGGTTCTGTAACAAAGGCCCTGCTTTCAACATTGCTTCTAAGAACTTCCCCTTTTCCGGCAACCCTTTTGGCTGAACCACAGGAAACCGCAGTTCCTGCTGCGGCGGCGGTCGCAATTGAACTGGGTTTTCGATGGGTGGAGAGGAAACGATGCTTTCTTCACAGTCTGAGGAAGAGAAGCCACAATTGGTGATGGGTTCATCTTCAATACTTGAAACACCAGATTGTGGCGGGGGTGTGGTGGTTTGATGGTGTGTGTACCGGCGGTGGTGGTGAAATTGCTGTTGAAGAAGCAATTTATTATCAAGGAGAAGAGATTGGTATTTGCTATGAGCTTCATCTCTTTCTTTAATGGCGTCATTCAGAAGATCTTTGAGTTGATTTAACTGATCATCTCTTGCTCTGATCTCTTCTTGAACCCTGATCCTTGTTGCTTCAAGCTCCATTGTAGTCGACCAAAGTGACTGTGTCAACTCCTCTGCACTCTGTTTCAACCCAAGATCAAATTAGAACAACAAGTTTCAATGTTCTATGAAATGATTATAATCTAATATTATTTCTAAGTAATGAAATTAGGGTTCTTGATCGGGTAGTTGCAGTAAAGATAGGGGGAAAGAAGAACAAGTGAAAAGGGTTAAAGTGGTGACCTTTTCTTTGTGAAAGTATGGCCATTCAAGAACAGAGTTGCGGTGATCTTCCATGAGCCAGATGTAATGTGTCTTTTTGAGTGAAGGATAGGTGTAATGGAACTGGAGTGGCCTTATAAAGACTGCTTTTGGCCTTTGGGTACCAATATTCCTTGGTACTCTGACTAAATGATTAATAAATTCCAGTTGTTAATAGCAAATTAAGTTAAAAGTAAAGTTTGAACACCTAAAAAGAAAACATATAAATTGGATTATATAAACATACCGATTCAGACTTTACAGGAAATTAAGTGTGAATTGAAATAAATAGACCCCCTAAAAGTGTTAGCATTTTTTTTATTACAAAGGAGCATTTGTTAATTGTTACTTAGAAAATAGAAAATTAATTAAAATGAGTTTTATGAGAAAATAAAAAATGTTTTTTAATTTTTGAAAAATAACTATTTTTTTCCGGATGATTCATTCCCGAATACTCTTGATATTCTTGATATTCGGAGTTCTTCATTTTTTTCATTTTTTTTTCAAAGAATGTTTCATTATGAATGTTCCATTTAAGTTTATCTTCAAATTATTTTGGGTTTCATCTTTAAATTTGGGAGTTATTATTTTTTTATTTTTTTGAAAAAATATTATCATTTATAGTGTTTAATATCACTATTTTTCAATAAAATGTATGATTTTATGCATTCATATAAAATGTATGATTTTATTTCGAGAAAAAAGTATTTTTTTACTTAAATCTAACAAAAAGTTAAACAAACATAAT